GGGAGATGCATCCTGGGAAAGGCAGACAGTAAAGCTAGGTTACACTTTTCCCCCCATTTAGGAAAAAGGGAAGTAATGGAACTCACAGCTTCTTGTCTTCCAGGTAACCCCCCAAGAAACGGTCATGGAGCGTAACGCAGAAGATGGGGCCTACATAAAAGGACTCTTCTTAGAAGGTGCCCGTTGGGACAGGAAAAAGATGCAGATTGGCGAGTCTCTCCCCAAGATCCTCTACGATCCACTGCCCATCATTTGGCTGAAACCTGGGGAAAGTGCAATGTTTCTGCATCAGAACATTTATGTGTGTCCAGTCTATAAAACAAGTGCCCGGAGAGGCGTCCTCTCCACCACAGGCCACTCCACCAACTATGTCCTATCCATCGAACTCCCAACAGACAGGCCCCAGAAGCACTGGATAAACCGAGGAGTAGCCGCTCTGTGCCAGCTGGATAACTGATGGCATCGGTCTCAGCACAGAAAATAAAAGGCATTTCATTCTTGCCTACAACCTAGCTTTCCTTTCTTGAGAGCCACATGGTATGATGACGACGACAGTTATATTAATGGAGCACTTGCTACAAGCCAGGTATTTCAGAGCAGCCCCGTAAAGTAAGTCATTACTATTGTCCTCATATTACAGCTACAGAAACCATGATCTAGAGGAAGTAAATAACGTCTTCCAATTCAGATGGCGACTAAAATTGTGGAGCCTGGGCTTGAACACAGGCAGTGGGACTCTTTAACCTAGACCTTTAGTCATGTGGTTAAGCTCCCTTGTGATATTTTTTCCCTATTATTTTGCCCTAACTGTCCCTGAACTTCAATTGCTTCTTTCCTAATCTGTTCACATGGGCTAACATCATGGTCTCTCAGAGGCTGAAAGAGGCTTGGGCCACTTTTATGTCTTAAAGGCTCTTGATATATTTAAAATGCACGTCTCACAACAACTTTATGTGGGAGGTATTATCCCCTCCATTTTAGTGGTACAGAAACGGAGGCTTAGCAGAGTTACTAGCTCAAAGTCTTGCAGCTCGTCAGTGGTGAACTGGGACCCCAGTGCTTCCCCACTAGCCTACAGATGGGCAGAAATTTCGGGAAGCAAGGAGACATGAGAGAACCAATGTCTATTATTCGCCATTGGGTTGTACTCAGGCCGTTAGATGTCTTGCTTGTCCCTATGTTGGACACGATTGTCTCCTTCTCTAGAGGTTCGGGGAGATTAAGTAACTTGCCCAAGATCGCCGAGCTCTTTCACACTGAAGAGCCAGGTTTTGAGCCTACGTCTGTCTGGCTCTAGATCCCATGCATTTTTCACTGCTTCATGCTGCCTCCTTGCTCAGAACTTGGCTATGCTGTGATGGAAGAATATTAGAAGGGGTGTGTCGTTCCAACAACCATGTCCCAGAAGTTTCTGGTTTATCATTGTTTCTCCCCAGGGCCAGCTGGAAGAGAATCCTGGGGGAGATAAAAATCAAATTCTTGATGTATTACTTCTCAACTAACTTTCTCATTGTAGCTCTTTGGCTCTAAGTGGCTACTTTCTGGGCATTCCATTGGTCAGTTCATAGATGAGCAAAGACATAAGGCTTTTTGAGAGTCTTAATGCGTGTGACCTGGCTTCCCTGGCCCTTCACTAGAAGAAGTGTCCTGATGTGGGATCTTTGACTTTTCCTGAATGAAGCTTCTGAGGACCAAATAAACATATTCCAGAAAGCTTATTTCTTCATTAGAATATGAAGCCAATCAAATTCTGATTGAGGACTCTGAATTCTGAGATCAGCAAGTCATCTACATAATCCTAGAGATTAAATGCAAAAGGGGAGTATTTCAAATCTTGCCAGGGGCAATAGACAGAAAGAGCCACTCTCTTTTGACTTTTTTTTAAGAAACACAACTTCTTCCAGTAGAGGAAAGAAAATCAGAATTGATAGATAGCTGGAACTGCCATATTGTGCATTATTCCAAATAAGATTGTTAGTTATGTGAGATGGAAAGATGGTCAGGATCCCAAATTCCTGATTCTTGAACTGTTAGGTAAGTCACATTGCAAGCTGTACAGCAGTGAGGGGGTTGCTAAGAGAACAATTGAATTTTAATTAATTTTAATTATCTAACTCCAGCTTCAGCAACAGAAAGCTGAGGGAAGCAGGGACTGACTGTTTCATTCCTCAGGGGTCAAGGGACAGAATGTTTCCCTACGATGGATTAAATTTTTGTGATTGAAAAAATGTCCTCTACTTGGAAAATAAAGATTGCCCTAAATTTGAGGTCATTTTCTACTGGGGCAATTAACATTTATACTTGTGGTAATTAATGTTTCCCCCTGGGAAAGAGCAGTATGTTCTTCAGAAATCCTGGTGAATTAGAGGCTGGAGTCCTTGGGCCAAGATGACCAGAGATCAGCTCTGTGAGAAGCTGTAGGCCTTGTCTATAAATAGCTCAGCAGATGACATGGGACAAACCTTGTCACTAAGCTAGTCTTTGCTATTTAAAAATCTGGGCTGTTGTTACTTTTCAGTCCCTGTCAGCACTGGAAGAAAATTTCACTGAAAGAGGGGATGCAGTCCCCGGATCATAAAGATTGCTCAGCATACACAAATCAATCAGTGTGATACACCACATCAACCAAAGAAAAGACACAGTGTCCTCAATAGATGCAGAAAAATCATTTGATGGAATTCAACATCCATTCACGATGATAACTCTTACCAAGTGGATATAGAGGGAACATATCTCAACGTAATTAAAGCTATTTATGACAAGCCCACAGACAACATCACACTTAGAAGTGAAAATCTGAAAGCCTTCCAGGTAAAATCTGGAACAAGACAAGGATGCCCACTCTCACCGCTGCTATTCAGCATGGTATTGTAAGTCTCAGCTACAGCAATCAGATAAGAAAAAGAAACAAAAGGGATCCAAATCAGAAGGGAAGAGATGAAATTGTCATCATATGCAGATGATGACATTTATAGTTACTATATATAGTAAATCCTAAAGACTCCTAAATTTCTAGTAATTTACTAGAACTGATCAACAAATTCAACAAGTAGCAGGATATGAGATTAACATATAGAAATCTGTTGTATTTCTAATTAAAACTACAATGAGATATCACCTCATGCCAGTCAGAAGGGCCATCATTAAAAAGTCCATAAATGATAAATGCTGGAGAGGGTGTGGAGAAAAAGGAACCCTCTATACTGTTGGTGGGAATGTAAATTGGTGCAGACACTATGAAGGACAGTATGGAGGTTCCTTAAAAACAAAAATAAACTTACTATCTGACCCAGCAATCCTATTCCT